TCTGTGTCTGTGTTAATTGGTTTCCCTTTTCTTTGTTGAAGAGGGTCTGTGCAATCCTTCTGCCTAGTCCGCCATCTTGCCGGAACTCCCTTAAACGACCTTTGCTATCTTAATGTATGATGTCCTTGATGTCATCCCACAGCTCATCAGGTCTTGGGTCACTAGTGTTCAATGCATGAAGTCTACTCTTGAGATGGTTCTTAAATTTAGGTGGGATATACTCAAGGTTGTACTTTGATTCTTGTGGACTTGCTTCATTTTCTTCAGCTTCAACTTGAACTTGCATATGAACAACTGATGGTTTGTTATGAAGATACTGAGCCTCATCACCATCTCTTTCTACAGATGTAATCTATTTGATTCAACCCTGATGCACACTTGTCCTGATTTTAAACCACGCAATAACCCTTTGTTCTGTTCAGCAGCGTAGCCTCTTGCCTATTTTCAAAGCGGCCACCAGATGGTGGGAGAAAGATTTCTCACTGTTGAAGTGGGAATTTACGGTAAGCAAAGGGAGGAGGTTCCCATCACCCATATGGTGATGGACTAGAGTTGGAAACATCAGTATGAACTCATGTTTAGTGTAATATAGATACAGATAGTTGCTTATAGAAGTATTATAGATACATATGTAAGTACACAAGTTTGTATACACACATACATCACACATATATTTCTTTGCTCTGTCAGCTGAGAGGGACTAAAATAAATGATACTCCAATAGCAACTAGCACACTCAGATCTTGATTTCTAACACCATTCTCCTGCAGATGGAACCAGGGTTCCTTAAAGAAATGGTTGATACTAGGACTGGGGTAGAAAATATACAAGATGAGCCTGGAGCATTTTGTAGTGCCAGAAAGGAGGTGCTAAAAATAAAAGCAAAGAAACAAAAATATCGAATCAATAGGGGTATGCCAAAGGGACACAGGAACCACCAATGACCAAAGCTAGAAGAATTTGAGTAACAAATCGGTATTGAATTATAATCCAAAGTATAAAATAAATATCCATGAGTCTGTACTGATATAAATGATTGAACAAACAAATGGGAAGGAAGGGACAAATGTCTCATGCAGAAGAATTCCAAATAATTTCTGTGGATTCTCCATTACAAGGAGGAGGAGCATAACTCCCCACTCATTAAGTGTGTGGTCAGAAGAGTGTGTAAAGAGGACAGTATACAAAGAAGGGGAGGAAGCATAAACACTACCTCAGTCAAGTGATCAAGGTCAACATCAACTATTCATAAATCATGAATGTGCCCTTGACATGACAATTTCCCTCTGTGATATTCTTCACCAAAACCTATAAAAACAAAACCGCAACCACCGCCATGGAGTGGGATCCAACTCATAATGACCCCTCCTTGGGTTTCTGAGGCAGTATCACTACAGAAGAAGATTGCTCAACCAAAACCTATAATCCCTGTCTAATGAGGGAGCTCCGGTGGCATAGTGCCTAAGGCCCTTGACTGCTAACCAGAAGGCTGGCGGTTTAAGCCCACCAGCCACTCCACGGAAGGAAGGTTGGACAATCTACTTCTGTAGTGATACTGCCTGGGAAATTCAAGGTGGGGTCTCTGAGTCGGATGGGACTTGATGACAGTGAATTTTGAGTTTTAACGAGAAAAATATCTGACAAATTCCAACTGAGGGACATTCTACAAAATACCTAACCAGTGCTCATCAAGACTGTCAAGGTCATCAAAAACAAGAAAACACTGAGAAACTGTCACAACCCAAAGGAGCCTAAAGAGACATGAGAGCTAAATGTGATGTGGTATCCTGGGTGGGATCTTGGAACAGAAAAAGTACATTAGGAAAAACCAAAGAAATACGTAGGAAGTGTGGACTTCAGTTACCACTAATGTATCAATATTGGTTATTAATTGTAGCAAATGTAGCATACTAACGTAAGATGTTAATAGGGAAAGATATGCGGGACCACTGTACTATTTTTTCCATTTTTCTGTAATCTAAAACTGTCCTAAAAAATAAAATGTATTAAGGAGGGGTCGCTATGAGTCGGGTCTACTCGTCGGCAAATTACAACAACATTTTTACAAGGAAAAACAGCGGCCGCCAGTCTATTAATACCCGGACCTTCCGGAAGCGGAAACCGGCCCTGCCCCTCACAAAGATGGAGGCCGCCAAAGTTGGGCGGAGACCCACCCCGCTCAAGGATGGAGGCTGGGGCGGGGAGGAACCGGAAGCGCTAGTTGGGAGGTAGCGCTTTACGGCGGTAAACCAAAGACTTGGCAGTGCGGCGCGCGTCCGGGCATGAAGGTGTGCCGGGCCGCACTGGGCCTGCTGCTCCTGGCGCCGTTGGTGGTGCAGGCGGTGGAGCCCATCAGCCTGGGACTGGCCCTGGCCGGGGTCCTCACCGGCTACATCTCCTACCCGCGCCTTTACTGCCTCTTCGCCGAGTGCTGCGGGCAGAAGCGGAGCCTCAGTCGGGAAGGTAGGGCCGAGGCAGATGCTGGGGATTGGATCTCGGTGTGAGATGTCAGAAGCGAGCATCGGGGCTCCAGGGGGCCCAGAAGCCTGGATAGAAAAACTAGGGTAGGCAGGGGCCAGACTCAGGATTCCTAGTCGCCCGGGGTGTAGGTTGTGACCTGGCTCCTTGGCCACGACCGCAGACTGGACTTTGGCTCCTGAAACTGGAGCTGCAGCTTGGGCAGCTTAACGCAGAAACTGGGCGTATGGACCCTGTTTCAGACTTCCTGTAAAGAGCGTTTTGCCTCCATCCTAGCAGGGCATAGGAAGGATGAGGTTGACTTCCGGAGCAGATCAGTGGTGGCTAAATGGCAGCCCTTGCCTTGCTCTGCCTTGGGGTGGGAGGAGTAGAGCAGGGGTTCCGGGTGGAAACAGGTTGGTAAAGGCAATAAAGCCAAGGACCTTTTCAGCCTCCCAGTGGGAAGTCACCTGGCACATGGCCAAGCCTTAGAATAGGCTGGACCAGTAAAAGAAGAAAGGAGTTTGGGTGGCAGAGTAGTTAAGACATTTGGCTGCTAACCAAAAGTCGGGGGTTTGAACCCACCAGCTGCTCTGCAGAAGAAAGATGAAGCAGTCTGTTTCCATAAAGATTTACAGCCTGGGGGGGGGGCAGGTGGAGTCGGAATGTACTCAGGGCAGTAAAGGAAGACCTTCCTGGACCTAATGATTCACCTATGGGACAAGTCCTTATAGTTCATGTTACTTCAACATTTCGCAAGATGCTTGAAGAGCTTACCGGTTCTAGCTGACTTTCACGTGGGCCTGTAAACTTTGCTAAATTTTACCAGCTGTTTCTTCCCCTACTCCTTAACTGTCTTTGTTTTTCCCAGCACTACAGAAGGATCTGGACAGCAAGCTCTTTGGACAGCATCTTGCAAAGAAAGTCATCTTAAATGCCGTGTTTGGCTTCCTTAGCAACCCAAAGCCCAAGAAACCTCTCACCCTCTCTCTACATGGATGGACTGGCACCGGCAAAAATTTTGTCAGCAAAATCATTGCGGAGAATATTTATGAGGGTGGTCTGAACAGTGACTATGTCCACCTGTTTGTGGCCACATTGCACTTTCCACATGCTTCGAACATTACCCTGTATAAGGCAAGGGCAGAATTTTGGAATCCTTGGATGACACTGGGTTTGGGGTTTCTCTGTTGTGGAATGGGATTTGGGATTTCCATGTTGAAACTAGTGAATGCTGAAAATGTTTAAATGTGTCAGTTCTCCTTGGAAAAGTCTGGAAGTTAGAGTGTTAGAGGTACTCGGCACAATTACACCATCAAACCATTGTGGTGGTTTCTGAAAATAGGCCCAGTGATACCAAGTTTAGTAAGTGGGAGCATAGAATTTTCGAGATGGACCTAATGAGATCCAACTTAAAGATGATCAAATCTTACTCATTTTGTAAATGAGGACATGGTTTCTAGAGAGACGTTTTGTTTTAATTTACTGTTGCAAATTATTTTTACAGTTTAACTCACTTAGGAGCAGTTTAGGCTTTGGCAGCAGGCACACCTGGGTTTGAGTCCTAATGCTCTTCTGCCACCAGCTATGTGATCTTGGGAACGTGGCCTCATCTCTCAGGCTCTTCTGTAAAATGGTGGCTATGAGAATTCAGTTCTGAATGTAAAGTACTAAACATGGTGCCTGGAACATTAGCATTCAAATAAATGGATTGCCTTTCCATGGGTTGGGACAGATAAGGCAGTCTACTTCTGTAAACATTTACAGCCTTGGAAACCCAGTGGGATCACTATGATTTGAAATTGACTCCATAGCAGTGGGTTTCGTCTTTGGTTTGTTTCCTTTTTAAGGTGCTCTGGTGATGCAGTGATTAAAGCTCTTGGCTGCTAACCAAAAGGTCAGCAGTTCGAACGCACCAGCCACTCCAGCTGCTTGGCCAGAGAAAGATGTAGCAGCCTGTTCTATTAAGATTTATAGCCTTGGAAACCCTGTGGGGCATTTCTACTGTTCTGTGAGTCAGAACTGACTCAAGGGCAGTGTGTTTGGTTTTTTTTTTTTGGTGGTAAAAAATGGTTAGGTAAACAGTGGAGTGCTCAGCTGCCCTGGTTGAGACCCACCAAGTGGCTCTATAGGAGAAACACGTGGCAGTGTTCTTCTTTAAAATATTACAGCCAAGGAAACCCTGTGGGCCAGTTCTGCTCTGACACATGGGGTCACAGTGAGTCAGAATGAACTTGATAGCAGCCAACAACACTACCTTTTTAAATTCATGTAACAAACTGTTTGTATACGTTTTTCCCATTCTGCCTGGATTAGCAGTAGGGTCGCCAACCATCAGGAGTTCCTAGGATGCTGGATTTGCAGTGTTAAAACTGGGTTAAGCCCCCAGGCAAATCAGTCACCCTAGTTAGCATTCAGGTTCCACTGCTTAAAAGCTGCGTGACTTTGAGCTAGTTACTTAACTTCTCTGTGTCTCAGTTTCCTCATCTGTGAAACAGAGAAGAATTTCTTGGGTGGCATAAGTGAATGATTAAGCGTTCAACTACTGTCGTAAAGGCTGGTGGCTCAGACCCACCCAGAGGCACCTCGGAAGACAGGGCTGGCAGTCTGCTTCCAGAAGGTCACAGGCTTGAGGACCCTGTGGAGCAGTTCTGCTCTGCACACATGGGCTCCCCATGAGTCAGAACTGACAGTAGCTGACAAGGACAAAACGGACTAGGTAGGCACTACCTTGATGGGTTTGGGGAAGTCACAGTAAAACATGTGAACAATGCTTAAACAGTGTCTACCCCTTAGTACTTAATATCGGTTCTCTGCAAAAACTTTAGCTGCTGGAACCTAACAGATCTGGGGTGAATTACTTGTCCTGTGGCCTCAGGCAAGGCACTTCAGCTCTCTTAAGGCTCCTCTCTGTGAAGGAAGCTACCCCATACCTACAGAGCAGCATCACTGTTTAGATTAGGTACACTGTAACCATGATCATAGTTGTTAGTAGCCAAGTAAAAAATCAAAGGAATAATAAGACCTACAATGTATCTTCTAGAGTTTAGAAAAACTAACTAATTTTCCCAAGTCACTAGTAAGGAAAAAAAAAAAAACCATTATACAGAACCACAGCTCGACTTTCTGATCAACTGGCTTAGAAGGCCTCTTTCCTCGATTGGTTAATATTATAAGAGCCATCTCAACAGGTTTCTGTTTAGGTGAATGTGTTTCAGGAACTCCAGGCAGGCATTGTCCCAGAAACTTGAGCGCCACCTCACCAAACTTGTCTCAGAGCCGTGTGCTCTCAGTTCAGTTGCCTCACTGAAGTGAGCCTGTGTCCCTCAGTTTGCCCAACAGAAAGTTAAAGCAGCTCAAGGACAGCGCCAGCGTCACGTCTCACAACACAGCAATAACAATCAAAGTGGGGCTGACAATCAGAGCTGGGTTCAGATGCCAGCTCTGCTACATACTAATTTTGTAATCTCAGGCAAGTTGATTAAGCTCTCTCTACCTCAGTTTTATCTGTAACATGGGGATGACATTGCCTACCACACAGGACTATTGTGAGGCACTAAAAAGCCCATGCTTATAAAGTTCTCAGCACTGAGCCCAGTACACAGTCAGCCCTCTGGAAACGTAGCCATTGTTCTTAGTAGTAAAAGGAGTTGTCACATTAATAACGGTCATGCTTATTGTTTGATAAGAGCTTTGTATTGGCTTCTCTCTGTAATTCAGGATCAGTTACAGCAGTGGATTCGAGGCAACGTGAGTGCATGTGCAAGCTCTATCTTCATATTTGATGAAATGGATAAAATGCATGCCGGCCTCATAGATGCCATCAAACCTTTCCTAGACTATTACGACCTGGTAGATGGGGTCTCTTATCAGAAAGCCGTCTTCATATTTCTCAGGTAAGTGATTGGGACGTGATTGAAGAAACGGGAGGCTGAGCCTGTGAGTTTCAGGAGAAAACCCAGTCCTTATTCATGAGAATTACTTTGCAGCAATGCTGGAGCAGAAAGAATCACTGATGTGGCTTTAGATTTCTGGAGAAGTGGAAAGCAGAGGGAAGAAATCAAGCTCAAAGACATGGAGCATGCCTTGTCTGTGTCGGTTTTCAATAACAAGAACAGTAAGTAGGACCATCACTTTGTTACCCTGTCGTGTTCATAATCCTGTGCCCCTAAGTCTTAAAGTGTCAGTTGTGCCATCACTGGGGAGCTAGTAAGAAATACAGATTCTCAGTTCCTTATCACCTGCTGACAGGGAATTTCTGAGGGAGTTTGTATGTTAATAAACTCCAGGTGACTATTATACACTCTAAAGTTTAGATTCATGGTAAGGGATCAGTGCAAGAGATCCTGGATAGAGTGGGAGACCAATGTGGAACAAAACTCAAAATCAGAAAAAAGACCCAGTTTTAGTGGTCTGATAGAGCCTGGTGAGACTCCCAAGACTATGGCCCCTAGTTACCCTTCAGGTCTGGAACTGAACTCACTCCCGTGGCTTCCAGCCAAACAATAGACAGACATATGGGGTGAATATTTACAGCAGGTAGATACACTCCTTAGAACGATCGATCATGGGAGAACAGGAAGGCAGTATTTGCACAGAAAGATAGCTCAGAGAGCAGGAATGCATAGGAAAGAAGGACCCAGGGAAGAAGTAACTACAGGGAGGAAGTGGGAAGACAGCTGTTATGCTGTGAGGAATTGCAATCAATGTCATGAAACAATGTGTATGGACTGCTGTATGGAAAATGAATTTGCCCTACCTATAAGGTTTCACCCAAATCATATGTGGTAGTTCAGTTTGTGTGTCAACTTGGCTGGGCCTGGTTGAGTGGCTGGGCAGTTGGTAGTAGTTATTCCCCATGATGAGACTGGCAATCAACTCCATGGTAGGATCTACTACAAGCAGGTGAGTAGCTGCCTTTGTGATGTGGTCTGCTTCCTGTATAGAAGGAGAAGCCTTTGGGAATGGTCTCTAGCCTATGGCACGCTTGGACCCTGCATGTAGCCATGTTGTTGTTCAGCAGCCTGCTATGCTCTGCCGACCTTAGGATTTAGAATGGACTTAAGTTAATGGCCTGTCATGTGGTTTGGTAACATCGGGACTGTGCCTTTTGACTTGTCAACCTTGGGGCTTCTCAGCCTCAGCAGCCAGTAGCTGTCTGAGGGAAGAAACGCCTCTAGCTCCAGTGGGCTGGACGCAGGAGACAGAGCTGGACCCCAAGGTTGAGGGGCTTTCACCCAGCCCCTAGAGCCTGGCACTTTCGACTTGGACTTAAAGCCTCCAAATTATAAGAATAAACTCCTGTTAAGGCCATCCCATTTGTGGTATATTTCTGTCAGAGTGGCACTAGGTAACCGGAACATGATAATAAGAATTTTAAAGAAATAAAGTTTAGATACGTTATTTTAAAGAAAGGGAAATTTCTGATTACTGAGAACTTGAAAAGTAGTTCCCCTGTTTTCTTCTGCTAAATCATTTTCTTTTATAGGCGAAAAGGTGAGTGAGTGGTGGCTCTGGGGAAGGAGATGGCCTCTCAGGTCCTTTCCTTTGTCTGTGTTGCTCTAGAACTCTGAGATTTGGGGTCTAAGAACATTAGCCAAACAGTGATGAGGTCCTGATGCTTTACTTGCATATTTCATTTAATTCTTACGGTAACCTCCTGAAGGAGAAACTCTTACCATCCCCATTTCACAGGTGAGGAAACAGCCTCAGAGAGAGAGCAGCCACACAGCCTATCAGGAGTCTCGTTCCATAGCCTGGGCTTTTAACTGCCTCTCCAGTGACCGTCACCCACACTTTGACCCTGAGGCCTTGGAGAGGAAAGCCATCATGATGGGGACAGACTGACTGACTAAAAACTATGAGTTGTTCAGGAGCTGTGACAGCTATGGCACATGACGTATGCTATGACAGCTCAGGAGTACAGTCACTAAAATAACCTCTGCCCTTCTTGCCTAATCACTCCATTTCCTTTTCCTGCTTTCTGTTATTCTTAACTCCTAGAGCTGCCTGCAGTTGTTTATTTACTGGTTTGTCAAGTGTCTCCCCAACTAAAATGTAAACCTCATGATGGCAGCGTCCATCTGTCTGACTCTGTGCTCTCTTCCCAGGGCCTGGGGCATGTCTGGCACAGAGTAGGCCTTCAGTTCAGGTTGACTGTTACTGCTTGAGTCTTTCTCTGCTCAGGACCTTGAGATTACAAAACAAAGGATCTGGCCTGAAACAAACTTGCCAAGAAATGCGTACTACAGAGTTAGGTGAAGAGTATGGAAGATGTGTGTGTGTGTGTGTATACACACACATACATACACACATTGTTTCATGACATTGATTGCAATTCCCCACATTGTAACAGCTCTCTTCCTACTTCCTCCCTGTAGTTACCTCTTCCCTGTGTCGTCCTTGCCTATGCATTCCAGCCCCTGAGCTATCTCCCTGTCCAAATATTGCCCTTCTGTTCTCCCATGGTTGATTGTTCTAAGGAGTGTATCTACTTGATGTAAATGTTCACCCCATAAGCCTGTCTATTGTGTGGCTGGAAGCCACAGGAGTGAGTTCAGTTCCAGAGCTGAAGGATAACTAGTGGCCATAGTCCCAGTCTATCAGACCAGCAAACCTGGTCTTTTTTCTGATTTTGAGTTTTGTTCCACATTGTTCTCCTACTCTATCCAGGATCTCCTGCACTGATCCCTTTCCAAGTGATTGACAGTGGTAGCCAGGCACCATCTAGTTCTTCTGGTCTCATGGTCATATAAGCTGAAGTTCGCATGGTCCACTAGTCCCTTGGACTAATTGTGTAAGGATGGGATATGTTAAGTAAATTTGTGCAAGTGGAGTATTGCTGATGAAAGACAAACTACCTTTGTAACATGTTGGATAGTCTCTCGACATGCCAAAAAAATAGGAACATGTGCAATAGAAAGCTGAGCTGAAATCCTGTGGCAGCTGAGGTCACTTGCCCAGAACCCACATTATGGGAGGTTACAAAGGAGTGAAAAAATACTTGAGAGTTAGGCAGGCCTGGCTGTGACTCCTAGCTCAGCTGCTTACTGACTGGCCTCAGGCAGCTGTGGGCACCTCTCAGTCACTTACTCAACGAAAAGCTAGTGAGCACCTGCTGTGGTAACCCAGGAGAGAGCTGCTGGGGGCTTGAAGAGAGTGGGAATTAGGAGAACTGGTTGAATTCTGGATGGATTTTGAAGGTAGAAACAATGAAATTTCCTGAAGGGTTCTGTGTGGGAATGGGAGAGAGATAAGCAGTTGGAATGGTGGTGGCACTGCCATTTGCAGATACAGACTGCAGAAGGAGTAGGTTTGTGGGGAAGGTAGGGGCCAGGCTGTCATGGTTGCTGTGTGATGAGGTGCTAAATTTGAGGCATCCAAGGAGGATACTGAGGAGGCAACTAGATGTCCCAGTGGAGTTCCAGGGAGGTGTTCAGGCTGAGGGTGCACATTTGGGAGTCTTCAGAAGACGGTTTTGAAAGCAGAAGATGGTTTTGAAAGCCTCCATCAGATCACTTGTTGCTCAGGAATGCTTCCCCCAGCTCTTTGCGTGGTCAGCTCCTACTCATTCAGTCTGAACAGAGGTCAGCTCAGGAGTACAGTCACTAAAATAACCTCTGCCCTTCTTGCCTAATCACTCCATTTCCTTTTCCTGCTTTCTGTTATTCTTAACTCCTAGAGCTGCCTGCAGTTGTTTATTTACTGGTTTGTCAAGTGTCTCCCCAACTAAAATGTAAACCTCATGATGGCAGCGTCCATCTGTCTGACTCTGTGCTCTTTTCCCAGGGCCTGGGGCATGTCTGGCACAGAGTAGGCCTTCAAGAAATGATGTATCTGAGTGCGCCCACAACAAGTGGGAGCTCTCGCGCTTGTCACTACTATTCATTGGTTAGCTTTGTTCTTTTCCCTGCCACAGACTCCACCCCCATCTAATCCGATATTTGTTGAGCACCAACTGTGCGCAAGCACTGTTGGGAAGGACATCCATCCCCGTTTTTTTTTTTTTTTTTTTTTCATCCCCGTTTTTGAGGAGCTTAGGTTAGGGAGCTGAGTCACAAAATAAACTGGCAAGGCAGAAGGGAAACGCCAGAAAGGCAGAAATGTGGGTTGGTGGGTGTCCAGCGGCTGCTGTGTAGTTTCAGAGGAAGGGGAGGTGCTCTGGGTCAGGAGGTTGGGGGACCAGGTGAGAGGATGTGACAGTAGGTGCAGAGCCAGTCCTCACCCAGGGGAACAGATACACATGGCACAGGCTGTGCCATTATGGTAGTAAAAGGGTGTTGCCTTCACACATTTATTTATACACAGGATTCTAGTTTTTGGTTCTCAAAATGCTCTATACGGTTTGCATGCATTGGCAACGGCGGTGGGTTTCTACCCAGCTGCTGAGCCTCCAGTGAGAGTTGCAAGTTTATCTTCTCCCAATGGAGGTAGTGACTGATAGAGTCCTTCCCTAGAAACGTCTCACCTTTCGCTTTCTTTGCAATGTTGTCAGCCTACTCTGCCTCTCAGCTTGTTGCTGACCCCAGGCACGCTGAGGGTGTGAACCTCTTTCCATCTCACATCTCTGCCTTGAGAGGCCTTCCTGATACAGCAGTGTATTCTAGCAGGTTACTTTGCCCTTTGCCTTGTGACATATCACAACTTATAATTGTGGGGTTTTTTTTTTTCTAATTTTTTTTATTATTTGGGTGAAAGTTTACCGAGCAAATTCATTTCCATACAGCAGTTCGTGCACATTTGTTTGTCATTGCTTCTGAGTGAGCTCACTGTTGAATGTCTGTCCTCCTTGTTGCTGACAAGCTCCAGGGCCTAGGCCAGAGCCTGGCACCCTGTCAACACTCAGTAGGTATGTGTTGGGTGGGTGGGTAGATGGCTGGGTAGAGAGGTGGATGGATGGATGCATAGCAACTTTTTCTTTTTCCCAGGTGGCTTCTGGCACAGCAGCTTAATTGACCGGAATCTCATTGACTATTTTGTTCCCTTCCTCCCCCTGGAATACAAACACCTAAAAATGTGCATCCGAGTTGAAATGCAGTCTAGAGGCTATGAAATTGATGAAGACATTGTGACCAGAGTGGCTGAGGAGATGACATTTTTCCCCAAAGAAGAGAAAGTTTTTTCTGATAAAGGCTGCAAAACTGTGTTCACCAAGTTAGATTACTACTACGATGACTGATACCCAGGATTCTGCATCATATTGAAGAATGAACTCAACACTCAGAGCCTTCCCCACTCTTCTCCCTGGAAGAGGAGTCAGACACATTGTTCCTGTTTTACATGACAGGGACTTTTCTGAGCACTATTATCACTCAGCAGTCTGCAGGCCATCGCAGCCTCACGGCCATTGACATTGGAGCCACCTGCAGGGTCCTCAGAGGAAGTACCAGCGCCCCGCCCCCTCGTACCAGTGCTTATGATTTTTTAAAAATCATGTTTTAATTACAAGTGTTTCTGTTTCAAGGAAGGACAAGTAAGTTTTACAGAAAATGTGATAACTATTTAAAGTGGTTTTTAACATTATGAGAAACTTTTCAGACTCTGAAGTTTCTGGCTTTTTTTTTTTTTTTAAAGTTCCTGTTTTTAGAACATTTACAATGATGTGTCTTTCCTGCAGAAAAGCCCAAGCACAAGTCCTTGGTGCTTGTTTCTGTAGGATGGCATTACTGGGGACAGAGGCTGGAGCCGTGACCAAACCTGTCACAGGATGACCACAGCCAGCGCTGCAAGGGGCAACGCTACATTTAGCTAAAAGGCCAAGCGTGTCAGGATCAGAACTTCGAGGGCACTCAGGCTCGGCACAGATGAGTCTCAAATGTCGTCTTCAAGGGTTTTAATCTTAATAACGTTGTGAACAGTGGGAATGGTCCTAGGCACACTGAACAGGCTAGCTGAAAGTCTGTTAGAACCAGAAACTCCTTGAAAGAAGGGTGTTTTTCAGCTCATCACTTGCTAGTCATTCAGGCTTCTAGAGGAAGGCCCTTTTCTACTTTCCATTCACAAATGAACTGCGTGGTGTCTTTCTCTTGGATTCTAAATTATGTGGTGAGTTTTGCTATATTTTTTACACCTCCTTTTATCACTGGTTTTTGTTAGTTAATTCAAAACCATAAAAAACAAACACTCAGCTATCAAGTTGATGCCAACTCAGAGCAACGCCCACTGGGTTTCTGAGGCTGTAAATCTTTACAGAATTAGAGTGCCCATCTTCCATCTGTGGAGCATCTGGTGGGTTTGAAATCGTCTACGTTCTGGTTACAAATGCTTTATCCACTGTGCCACCAGAGCTCCTTAGTTAAGTCAAAACCCCTAATACTTGGGAAAGCTTAGCTGTCTCTCCTGAGGATGCTGAGAACAGTGTTTTTATTTATAAATGCAAATAGCTATCACTATTTGCAATAAAAGCGTATCTTGTGATTTGTGAGTATATTTTTAAGGAGAAAATAATAAACTCGTCCACTGTCAGTCTTTTGTGCTGAACCTATGAATTGAGACAACAGATGCAGTCCAAGTTGGGATGAGATAAAGTCTAAGGCCAGGGCCTTTTGAGCAACCGGGGACACCTCTGGTCCCTTGCTTAGCTGCCCAGGGCACTATACTCAGTTGTAGGGGTCATGGAGTCTAAGTGTAGAGACTTAACCCCAACTGAGCTGCCAAGCAGGAATGCTGAGCACTATAGACTAAACCAGTACGAGTTCCTGTCCAGTTGATTTCGACTCAGGGCAACCCCATGTGTACAGGGTAGAACTCTGCTCCAGGGGCTTTCATGGCTATGACCTTTTGGGCACAGATCACAAGGCACCTCTGGGTGGGTTTGAAACGCCCTTTTGGTTATGAGCTGGAATCGACTCTGACAGCAGTGGGTTTCGGGTTTTTTTGTATTTGGTTAGTGGTCGAGCACTTAATCATTTGCACCACCCAGAGACTCCTAGAGGAGACTTAACACCTTGTTTTAGGCAACCCGCTTATGTGCCTACAAGTGGGTGGGGCTCCTGTAGAATATGAGTCTACCCAGAGTGCTTGCAGGAATGCTTTTTAGCAGGTAGACACAGGTTGGCCAGGCTCTGATTCAGCTTCTCAATCAACAGGACCCCTGTGCCTTCCAGCTCCCCAGCTGTACAAGGGCTCCTCTTTAGGGCCACCTAGGCCCCCTAAGGATGGCTCTAAGTGTTAGAAAGTTCTTAGTGCCTCAAACTTTTTGAAACCCATCAGGCCTGATCTTCTCCCCAGGAGTCACAGATTAAGTCTGACCCTTCTTGCATTTGAAGATGGCATTCTGGTACTTTGGAGTTCCTAATTAAGGAGCACAGTGGTCCCCTGACTTTTTCAAAAGTTCCATTTTGTAGACGAGGCAGAATGGAATAGAGTAGAACCCACAGCAGGCTGGGAAACAGCCCTAGAAAGCCTCATGGGACTTCAACGCCTTCCGTGGAGAAGTGAGGGCACCAGGTGAGGTGATGGCAAAAAAGGTTTAAACTTTCTAGAAAGTTAGCTAATCCCCAGTCCTGTGAAGAGGGTTAGCGCTATCAGGTCACTAACAGAGGTAAGATGCCAGGTAAAGTGTGATGAAGCTGAGATCTTAATGTAACTATGATTTCACATTATTTACCAATCCTGGGAGGGAAGACTGCATTTAGATTCCCCAGCTCTGAGCTGGCCCCTTGCTTACATTCAGAATGTCAACAGCCATGTTTTCCCAATGCCTGTTTCCTTCCAGCATTAATTTTAGGAGAATATATTTGTCAGAAAGAAGCCCCTCTGCTTCTGATGAAAACATCATTTAATTCAATTTCATAGTTGAAATTCTGAGGATAATAGCCTTAAAGGTAAATATTGATTCTGTTATGATGCAGTGACTGTCAACCGACACGTCCAACGTTATGGTAAGCCTAATGATACCTAAGCTGTTAAAGAGCCTTTATTCAAGGTCAGTGTGTTATCAAATAAACCAGAAAAAAAAGTTAACAAGTAACATCTCACAAATTTAGGCTTTATTACTTCATATCCAATATAGATCAGATCAAGCTCTTGTCTACATGATGGTGGGGTAGGGGAGCTGGGCTGGGATCAACTGTGTATGGCTTGTTCCACTTACAAATCAGTAACAGCGGTCCAAAGGTGGCCAACACATTGAGTTTATTGCATCATTGTCAACAGAAAATCTCGTCTCCTCCTGACCAGACAAAAAGGGTTATATAAAAAAAAATGTAACTTAACTCCAGTCTGAGAATAGGAACCAAAAGACTGTAAGTCTCACTTGGGCATTTTTTAAAGTTTGATACCATGTAAGGTATTTCCATTCTGTAAAAACTGTCATCTGACCACATCTTACATCTAAGAAAGGCTGCACACTGTTCTGAATACTTGTCTGCAGCCTACTGCTACTACAGGACAGACGGAACTCACTTCCCAATGATCAGAGCAGTCCCTAGAGGGTGCTGCCATACAGGGTGTCTACATCAGGTGACACCCAGGACCAGCCACAACTTACAATGACCTGATTTAATCTACAAGGTTTCATATATTACCACCCATTTAACAATAAAATCTCATACCATTTAAGAGCAGCTGAGAAGAGAATAAAAAATTATTCCCTATTATATCCCACCCATATTTTAAAACAGGCAACACCTCATACTTCCATTATAGAAGACTGAGAAATAAAAAGATAAACGTTCTTGAAAACTGGCATTTCTAATGGGTGATACTCTCACCTGTTTGGCAATGCAGAATCTAAGCTGAAGTGGAATGCTCACTGTGGGCACATGTTACCTGGAGGAGCACGTCAATATCAAACTGTTTTATGGAGTAAAGTGAGATTGATCCACATATAAATTGTAACAGACAAACACTTCACTATAGGAACTGAGGACTCAAATTCAAAGCTAGTGGTCTCGTTCTGATTTGACCCTATGATACGGTTGGAAAACCATGGTGCCTGAAGTTCAGGGTAGATGTGATACGAGGAAGACTAGGATCAAAACCAAATGAGAGAAAGGTGAAGGAATTCCATGCCAAGGGCTGTGATCAGCAGCAGGAGGAATGAACGGAAAGGTCACTCCTGTCCTGATCTGCAGGAGCCTTCACGGATGGAGTCCCCTGTCCATCCGACAGTTGACCCAGATCCACACTACTCGGGCCCACATCCCCCAGTCTGAGACGTGCAGGTGCCACCAATTCTAACAAAACATTTCAAGTCAGCTAATACTCTCTGTAAAAGAAAAAGAAGACTGTTTTCAGCCAGTGAGATCCTAATGGTACCAGATTGCAGCAGGGCTTCCCTTGAAACCCTTTCATTTTAACAGTGGTGTCTAAGGTGTGAGTGCTGTAGGGTCAGAAACAATCCTAGGGTTTTACTCCCTCAGCTGTTCCAAGGCACTTCTGTCAAGGACAGAACAGTAAGTTTGGAGGGGATGTTAAAAAAGTTCGTCTTCAGCTGCAACGAACAACTGGATTTCTGTCATCTTGCACAAGGACAAGTGCACTTGACAGATCAGGTCTCTTCAAAACTTCCATATCCTTAAAGTCCACAGGTGCAAATGTGCAAACCCCTCAAGAGGGATTCAGAAGTACTTCCCAAAGGCAAGGCCCCTGGCTTGCTGTGTCTCCCAGTCACCTTTTAGCCCATTTGGATAAAAGCTCAGTGAAAATCTAGTCGTGACTGCACAGTCTTGCAGCCTTTGTCTGAGTAGATTTTCTCATCTTTTGGGAAAAACGTCATTTCGTCCGCCACTCTTGTGACAATGTCTTCGTCAATGGTAGAACCGCGGGCCTTCATTTCTGCCCTCACACACATTTTCACGTGCCTGTATTCCAGGGGCAGGAAGGGGATAAAGTAGTCGATGAGGTTTCTGTCAATCAGTCCACTGTGCCACAGGCCACCTGCAAAATGAGACACAGCCAGGTTTCTTGCCTGTCACCTGGCCAACCTTACTGCTCTTACAGGGGCCACTGTCATCATGGCCCACAGGGCACCCTTCAAATCTTTACCCTCCAGAGAGATTCTCTTCTTATCAAGTGGGAAATAGCCTGATGTGGGAATCAGGTGGGCACCTTTTTTAACTGGCTTTTGTAACAAAATGAAGTCTGGTGGCATAAAGAATAAGGCATTTAGCTGCTAACCAGAAAGTCAGTGGATCTAAACCTACCAGACAGGAAGGAAGATGGGGTAATCTACTTGTGTAAAAATTTACAGCCCTGGAAACCCAACGGGGGTTACTATGAGTTGGAATTGACTTGACGGCAGTGAGTTTGGTTTTGGTTTGTAACGGAATGAGGAAAAGGGCCTACTTCAGCAAAGCCACAGAGGTGAGTGGGATTATGTGGCTTTGTCAAACACTCAAAGTGAAGAGAACTCTTCGCAGGGTTGAGGGGCTCCTCATCCTGTGTAGACTTACTGTGCTTGTTATTGAAGACTCCGACAGACAGCACAGGCTCCAGATCTTTCAGCTGAATGTCTTCCCTCTTCTTCCCTGCCCTCCAGAAGTCAAGCGCCATTTTAGTTATGAGGTCTCCACCTGCGTTGCTGAGTTTAACAAAGATTAAAAATCACATGAAGACTTCTGTGCCTAATTACTAAGGAAATTTACCTGCCCTGTGGTCTATTCCTAATTAAGGAATAGTGTTTTCTCTCAAGGAGCTTAAAAGTGATTTTTTCAGAACTTGCTGGAATAATGCTATATGGCTTTTTATAACCCTTGGAAATAACATTAAGGATTCTAAGCACAGTTACTGAAACTGCCTGTTACCAGCAATTATTTCTTTAGTCTATTTTCTGCTGCTCACGCTGTGTACCATGCAGCTACTAACAGTCCAATAGTAAAAGAAAGGAGCAAATCATTTTTGCCAGACATTTTTGCCCCTGGTAAACAGAATGCTGAGAGTTCCCAAGACCTTTTTCTAGCATTGGGAGAAGGAAGGGCTTATGTACCAGTCTTGCTTCTAAGCCCAAGAAACCACCTCCTGCTGACCTGAGAAAGATGAAGATGGCCTTCCGGTAAGACACTCCGTCAACCTGCTCGTAGTAGTCGAGAAATGGCTTGATTGCATCGATGACCCCCGGGTGTAATTTATCCATCTCGTCAAATATGAAAACAGAACTTGCACATGCACTCACGTTACCCCGAATCCACTTCTGCAGCTGGTCCTAGACCGACCATAAAAGAAGAAATGGAGGCAGAAACTCAAAGGAAGTGCCAGGACAGCAGAGGCGCTACCCTGCTAACTCATGCTCTGCAAGAAAAATCAGAGCTCTCTGGGGTTAAAAAGTAACTCTTAGAAGCTGCATCCTAACCTCCTTTCACATAGTAACAGCTTTCCCAAAACCTTATCTATAAAAAGTGGAAACTGACAGAGCGATAGGTGCTAAAAGGCAAGGAAGTTTTTTCCTATTCAAATGACGTGCTAAATGTGATTCTATAAAGGTATGAGAGGTACCCAAACCAAATTCACTGCCATTGCGTCAGTTCCGACTCAGTGACCCCTACTGGCTATCAATCTTTATGGAAGCAGACTGCCTCATCTTTCTTCCATGGAGCAGCTAGTGGCTTTGAACCACCTACCTTTTGGTTAGCAGCCAAATGCCTTAACTACTATACTACCAGAGCTCCTTAAGAGAGGTTTAGAAGAAATGAATATTTATCATTCACAATTAACCAATCCATAATATTCATCTCACTATGCAGTGAGATCTTGAGTTTATTTTACAACATACTGAGGAATAGTCAACTAGATTAAGACCTGCACAGTGCCGAGGCCAATGGCTTTCCTGGCATCATGAACAAAGGAGTGGGTCCATTCCATGAAAGGCACTTGTTCTGTGCTTTCTTGAAACACCAAAAGGCACCAAAGTGCGGAGCCCTCAACCCCAAAACATGAAAGGCAGTGATTGTGAGCCCTCTGCAGAGGGGCCCACTCTATTTCTAGAGATCTAGGAAAGAATTAGCAAAATAAAAGTATTCCTTCTTTTTGGCAGTCTTCCATGTCTTAATAGTGTGCTTGGCAAATACCCACTTTTACTTCCTTATTCAGTTAAGTTTCTGTTTCCTATTTCAGTCCCCACCTAAGAGTAGCATTAACCTTTACAAGGACAACACTAACCCTACCCAACAACTTGAATACATGAGAAAAAACCATCAGATGGGGAAAAGGTCTCAAGGTTCAGTTCTTGGAGGTTTTCTTTTGAAGAAAGAAAACAATGCCAAGGAATTGAAAGATGGGAGAAATAGAAGGAATAAAAGCTACTTAAAAAACCAAATCAAACCCATGGCCTTTAAGTCGATTCCGAGTCATGGCAACCCTATGTGTTAACAGAGTAGAACTGTTCCGCAGGGTTTTCCTTGGCTGTAATCTTTACCCGAAGCAACTTGTCAGGCCTTTCTTCTGAGGAGCTGCTGGGGAGGTTTGAACTACCAACCTTTAGGTTAGCAGCCAACCACAAACCACTTGTGCCAGTCCTCTAGTCCTTATTGGTAAATACAGAGGCAAAGCTGAGGCAGCACCATAGGTGCAGAACGTTTAATGATGCCATGTCCAAGTAACTTGTTTGAGTCCCCACTTAACGCCAGGTGCTGTGATGTGAATGTTGCCTGCACTCATTCATCGCAGAATGTGGCTATGTGTGAATTGGGAGTTAGATGATTTAGGTTCAAGTTTCTGCTTGGTCACAAGGACTGTAAGGAACAAGTCAGCTCATCTCTCTTGGCTCTGTCTTTTAATGGAAACAACATCAACCACTCCACTGTGTTACTTTAGATCAAGTGAGAATTAAAAAAAAAAAAGCTTTGTAAAGGGCAAAGGATTACCAGGGGTCAAGGGTGTCTTAACCTAGTGGAACCTGGGGATATGCAGTACAAAAGAGAGAAGCAGAGGCCTGAGTTAATGAGCAGGTAGCCAGCTCCTCGAAGTGGTCCGTGAATGAGATAAGAGTAGATTCTCTTGCCTGGTACAGTTTTATCTTCTGCAAGTGAGGAAAATGCAGAGTTGATACAAACAGGTGTACAAAGTTACTCTTCAGGCCTTTTGAGTGAAGATTTTCAGCCACAATTTGGCTGACAAAATTCTTGCCTGTGCCAGCCCAGCCATGTAAAGAAAGAGTCAGTGGTTTCTTGGGATTTTTGTTGTTCCTGAAGCCTGTCAGTGCCTTGAGAATCACCTCTGTGGCCAGATGCTGCCCAAATAGCTTCTCCTCCAAGTCCAGCTTGAGGGCTGCAGGGGCCAGCCCCAGAACAGAGAAAAAAATACACGTTAAAAATGCACCAGAAAAGCAGCACTTTCCCCAGCTGGCAAAAGTGAGAGGCACGGATTAGTGAGCGATTCAATAGAGTTTCTGTTAAACTCCAGGGCCATCCCTGGACTGCAAGTCAAATGATGTCGTTTCTATGGGAATGCATTATGTGGATGTTCTAATAACCTAAATGTGTTCATTCATTCAAGGTTTAACTACCTCTTGACCAAGCCGCATGCTATTTTTTTTCTAGCCACCCCTGCTGCCTTACAAGAAACCAAGGGCCAAAAGTGGGCTTTCTGGGCAGACGCTGCTCATCTGGAAACTAAGTAGGGTTGACTTGGCGCAGAAGAGCTGGCCACGCTACTTTCTGTTTCTTCTTACTGTAATCCCAAGAAACTGAACATTTAGGCTCTTGGGCAGAGTCTCGCGACCTGGAGAATCTGTTTCACAAAGTACTGCTTTCAGGTCTGGAGTTCGAGCCCTGTCAACCCTTCCCTCCTTCCTTTCTCCCAGCACTGTTCGTTGCAGGTCCAGATCGAGTTCCCGCCCTCCGGGGCTTGCCACTGGGAACGATCCCTAGGCGGGCCATTTATTCTCCCTCCCACCCCAAATGGGGATGACTGCCGTCTATGGTTGGGCAATCCTACTTCCGTAGTGATACTGCCTCGGAAACCCAAGGAGGGGTCGCTATGAGTCGGGGCTGACTCGATGGCAAACAACAACAACAACAACATGGAGCATCCATTAGGTGCATGGCGCCTAACATGCCCGGCTTGGGGTCGCACAGTCCCTGGCGCTAGGTCTGAGGTCGCATAGACCCTGGCGCCAGGGCTCAACTCGCGCGCCTTCCCGTCGTACCCGAGGCGTTGAGCGGTTGCTCCGGGCGGCAGCACTCGGCGAAGCGGCAGTAGAAGTCTGTGTAGGACAGGTAGCCAGTGAGCGCAGACGCGGCTCCGATGGCGATGCCCACGCTAATAGGCTCGAACGCCGAGACCACCTGGGCAGTCAGCAGCAGTCTTAGCACCGCGGCGCCCCCAAGTCGCTCCGCCAGCAACATATCTCCGCTTCGCAACCCGCCCGCCCCCACTGCATTGGGCGCTGGGGTCGAGCGACAGATCGGACTTCCGGCCTGCTGGCGTAACTTCCGCCCCACAGTCCTGCCCACTGGGGCAGCCATATTGCTAATGGGGGGGGAGGTGTGGCTATACCCCGCTAGCTTTGTGGGTGATGTGAGGGGTTTCTTACAACTCTTCGTTTCGTCTGAACCCCGCTCTGTCTTTTACGGTTTATTTTCTTAAGAGCATCTTTGTTTTGTCCTTTTCTCCTCTATCTTCCCTGGAGCTATAATGAGCGTTTCTCCTTTGAGTCCAGAGAGACGGCGAGGAAGTCTGCCTACCTTCCTGATACAATTACTGAGCGCTCCGGGTGCTCGGCTCTAGGCTGAGCACTGGGGATACAGCGGCACCAAGACAGACTTGCCCTGGCGTGCACCATCAGAACTGCAGTTCGTTCATTCATTCAGCATGCTACACGCCAGGCCCCTTGCTCGATGCGGGTAAGACGGCAGTGAAGGAGACAAACTTGGCCTCCATAGGCAGTGAGATGGAAGGGCGGACAGGGGCAGCGACCAATACTGAATGGTGGGAGAAGCAGAGGCCATGGAGCAGGGAAGACTTATGTCTATACTGGGAACTAAAGGTGTTAGCTAAGGCAACAATGAGGAGTAGAATGTTTTACACAGAAAGCACTGTGCAGAAGGCCAGTTTGGGATCCGAAACTTTTTCATGTAGTGGAGGGTGTGGAAATAAGAGGATAGAGAGGCAAGGACTGGAAGATGAATACTTAACAACTGCTGTTAGGAGTTTGCCTTCTGTTTTGAGAGGTAACTGGGATATAATAGGGTTTTAAGCTAAGAATGATGTGATCAGATCAAAGACCATTCCAGCTGCTGGGTTCACAGGGGACAGACAGACAGTAGGGAGCATCGAGGAACTTCTTGTCTTCCAGGTGACCTTGGCCCAGGCTTTGCTGAATTGGTTGCGTTTATCCATTAGCCAATTCATCAACAAATACTTAATAGGCAGTGGCTTTCTGCCGGAGTCAGTGCCATATGCTGGGGATACTATAAAGAATTAAAAAAGAAAAAATCAAACTCACTGCCGTGAAGTCGATTTGTACTCCCTTTGAGTTCCAAGGCGGTAAATCTTTACCGAAGTAGATTGATTGCCCAGTCTTCCTTCCGTGGAGTGTCTGGTGGGTTTGAACCTCCAACCTTCTGGTTAGCAGTCAAATGCCTTAGGTACTACACCACCAGCGCTCCTTTACAATAAGGAATAGGAAGACATAATCCCTGCCCTTACTGAGTTCTCAGTCTAATGGATCAGCCCTGTTTAGTATGAGAGGGGACAACACAGTCTGAATACCAGGAGGTTAAGGATCATTGGGAGCCATCCTGGAGGTTGCCCACAACACCCTTCCACTTTCTTTTACTTATTTACGTACTTCAATGCAAAGTAAAAACGGACTCAGTAATTTCCACTTGATACAAGAACTCAATGGAAAAGAAAAGAGAACCCATCCATCCCATTAAGAGACACATTTACCATAAAGTTTTAATTTTTTTTGTTTAGTAATTATTTTTAAAAAATCTGTAACATATTTCTGTTGCTTTGAGCAATTGTGTACTAACAATAATCCAAAAGAAATATTTTAACACTTAGAACTGTATAGTCCCCAGGAAAAAAATTTATATCAAATTTTAATTTATAGCATATGCATACTTTGTTGCAGAAATACAAGATAATTTGATTAATTACCCGTAAAATGTATTTCATTAGAATGGCTTTTGATGGAAGTATGAAATAGAAGTATGAGTTCAGATACGGAAGTGATAATAAATAGCTGACTTGGAAATGGCAGGTAAACCTGCTGTGGCATTTAGATACCATTGTGTGCACCTAGAGAGCAATGTAGCGATGTTACATGAAAATTTCCATGTCTTCAGTAAACAGAAAATTACATCCTTTGCAACCATTACATTTATGGTGAAAATTTTAAATGCTGACCTAAAAGTGTGCAAAGGGCATGTGTGAGCAAAGACCTCTGCCCAAAATCATACCCAGACTAACAGAAGTTTACCTAACTCCATCTTTCTTGCTGGATCTATGCTATTTACTATAGGTGGTTGAAAGAGGGGAGGTGCCCACATCAAAACCTCCCTTCTGAATTACCAGCTGCTGGGAAGAATTTTTTTTTCAATTGTGATTTGGGTTAAAATTTACAGAGCAGATTCATTTTCCATACAGCAGTTCATACACATTTTGTTTCATGACATTGACTGCAATTCCCCACAGTGTAACAGCTCTCTTCCTACATCTTCCCGGTAGTTACCTCTTCCCTATGTCCTTACCTCCCATTCACTCCCGCACAACCCCCTGCAGTTTTCTCCCTGTGCAGACACTGCCCATAAGTTCTTCCATGATTGATCACTCCAAGGAGTGTTTCTGCCTGGTGTAAATGTTCACCCCACGTGCCTGTCTGTTGTTTGGCTGGAAGCCACAGGAGTAAGTTCAGTTCCAGACCTGAAGGATAACTAGGGACCATAGTCTCAGGGGTCTCACCAGGCTCTATCAGACCAGCAAACGTGGTATTTTTTTCATGTGCTAGGGAAGGACTTTTGTGTTGACCTGGACTTCGGTCTTTTGCTGCTAATTCCCCCTTTGCCTGCCCCACAATATTGAACCGCCCGTGATCTGAATGCTGGACTTCTGCTCTCTCAAACCCCTATCTCTGATAAAGAGGTGAGAAGCTTTCAACTCCCTCTTTCCAGCCCCGATCTCTCCCCTGCACTCCAGACTCCTGTATCTGTCTGCACATTCAACCTTTCACTTGGCTGTGCACCAGACAGCTCAGCATCCTCATGGTCAAAACAGAAGTTTTGATTGTTTACTCGAAACGTGTCCCTCCTACAGGGATCCGCATCTCAGTAAGTGAAACCGTCTTCCACCCAGTTACTTAGCCCTCAATCTAGGAGGTTGTTCTGGATTCTTATTTTTCTTACCCTCCCCCTTCTAATCTATTAGCCTTTGTAACATATATTTAAAAATTGTTCAATTGTCTCCATTTCTTTGGGTACCTTCCAGTCCACGCCATCATTGTCCTTCCATTGGACGACCACAGAAGCCTTTCAAATGCTCACCTACATCCATGCTTATCCTCTCTAATCCATTCTCTCACAACAGAGACAGATGTCGTTTTACAACAAACTGGACCATGTCACTCCCTGCTTTGAACTTGTCACTGGTTTCCAGCAGTCCTTAGGAAAAGAAAATCCACCTTTCTTACTCTGATCTCAAAGCTCTACCTGATACACCTCTCCCTTCTCTTCATCCTCACATCCCCTTTTCTTTGCCTAGACTTGTGCCTCAGAGTCTCACCTGGCTAAGAGCTTTCAGGCTCAGCTCCAAGCCCACCTCCATTTCCCCACCTTCCCCCTGGCCTTCCCCCTGTTTTGATAGAGCCCAGGAGCTAAGGATGGTTTTATATTCTTAATTTTGGGCAGTCACACAAGGGTAGGGTGGATCCTATACCCAATCACTTCTAAGAGATGTCTTATAAAAAGAGCAGAATCGATGCAAATACATACATAGGGGGGAGACAGACACCAAGGAAGGCCCCTACCCTACAGCTGATAACCTGATTTAGACTTTTAGCCTCCAAGACTGTGAGATTTTTTATTCTTTCTTATTTATTTTTTTAAATTTTTATTGTGATTTGGGTGAAAGTTTACAGGGCAAATTCATCTTCCATACAGCAGTTCACATACACTTTGTCTCATGACATTGACTGTAATCTCCCACAATGTAAAAGCTCCCTTCCCACTTCTTCTCCATAGTCTTCCCTTCCGTGCACTCCTGCCCCCCAAGCTGTCTCCCTGTGCATACACAGCTGTTCTAGTCTCCCATGATTGATCTCTCCAAAGAGTATATCTACCTAATGTAAATGTTCAGTTCATATGCCTGTCTTTTGTTTGGTTGGAAGACACAGGAGAGGGTTCAGTTCCAGACCTGAAGGATAGCTAGGGGCCGTAGTCTCCGGGGTTCCAACAGGCAGCAAACCTGATCCCTCCCTTTTTTTTTTTTTTAAGTGACTTTGACTTTTATTCCACATTGTTCTCCCACTCTATCCAAGATCTCCTACATAGATCCTTCTCCAAGTGGTTGACATTGGTAGCTGGGCACTATCTAGTTCTTCTGGTCTCTTAGTCACATAGGCTGAAGATAGCTTAGACTAGTTGTTTCCTTGCATGTTTGGTTTTCTGCATTCTTCTTTGCTCTGGATGAGGAGAGACCCATTGTTACATCTAGATGGCTGCTTGCAAGCTTTTAAGATCCCAATCAGTACTTACCAAAGCAGCGTGTGAAACAATGTTTTTGCATAGTATGTTATACCAGTTGAGGTTGATGTCCCCTGCGACCATGGTCCTGAGCCCACAGTCCAACTACTTGCTCCCTCTGGGTAGCTGTCTGTGGCCAGGAAGTGACTACAACCTTGTCCTTTGTCAGCTTTACTATATACCTGGGAATTCTTACAGAACATACAAATACACTTATGGAAACATTGTCTGTCAACCCTATACATGGTCATGGGCACACTCCCCCTTGCATAGACATACCTAATCATTCAGCCTGTCCACTCATCTATCCACCTGTACATCAGTGTTTGCCATAAAGGCTGTGAGATTTTTAAGAAATTCTTATTCTTTAAAGCCACCCACTTGTGGTAACTTTTTTTGTTATTGTGATAACACTAGATAACTAAGACAAATGTATTTGTTGAAAAAAAATAACTGGAAAAATAAATAACATAATTTGCAACAACTTTTAGGTTGGTGGGATCTTAATGTATTTTATTTGCATAATTTTATTCTTATGGCCCAATAGAGGAATCAAGCAAGTGGTTATAGATAGTAAAATACTCATTTTAAATATTTTTGAAATAAATGTATTATAATAAATTCAGACAGTAAATTTCAATATTTTATTAAAACATTAGCAGCTT